CAACAACCACAACAACAACAATTATCACAACAACAATAACAACAATAACAACAACAATCACAACAACCACAACAATAACAATCACAAAAACAACAATACCAACCACAACAACAACAACAATCACAACAACAATAACAACAATAACAACAATAACAACAATAACAACAATCACAACAATAACAACCACAACAACAACAACAACAATCACAACAATAACAACAATAACAACAACCACAACAACAATAACAATCACAACAACAATCACAACAATAACAACAATAACAACAATCACAACAACAACAGTAACAACAACCACAACAACAATAACAACAATCACAACAACAATAACAACAATAACAACAACAATCACAACAATAACAACAATCACAACAATAACAACCAACACAACAACCACAACAACAACCACAATAACAACAATCACAACAATAACAACAACAACAGCAACAAGAATCACAACAATAACAACAACAATAACAACATCAATCACAACAACAATCACAACAACAACAATAACAACTACAACACCAACAACAATCACAACAATAACAACAACCACACCAACAATAACAACAATAACAACAATCACAACAACCACACCAACAATAACAACAACAATCACAACAACAATAACAACAATCACAACAACAATAACAACCACAACAATAACAACAATCACAACAACAATAACAACAACCACAAAGAGTGTGGTTGTCTTTTTTTGTTTGCATTTTGACTGCTTGTGCTGTGGTTATTGCAAACATGATGCCTTGAATAAAGGTGTCAGTTTTTGTGCCAGTTAAAAGGGTAAAACCTATTTCTGTATCTTGTTTCTGGCAAAGGAGGTCTCATAATGTAAATGCTCACCCCGAGCCCTCAATACTCTGATGGTGCGCTGTTTTTGAGTTGTACGCCTTTTGGCGTCTTCTGGTCCAACACCAATGGAGACTGGGCTCTAAGAAAAGCCGTCTCGGGTGTGGACCAATCAAATTCAAGGACAGTGCCAATATTATTATCAGAGTTGTCTCTTTTGTTTGCATTTTGACTGCTTGTGTTGTGGTCATTGCAAACATGATGCCTTGAATAAAGGTGTCAGTTTTTGTGCCAGTTAAAAGGGTAAAACCTATTACTATAACAATCACAACAACCACAACAACAACCAGAACAACAACCACAACAACCACAACAACAACAACTCGTGTGAGTGACATTGCATTGACCGCTACGCTGCACTACGAACCTGGCGACCTGAGTTCGATTCCCGTTCACGGCCAACACCGCCAGCGACGATTCTCTGAACCGGTCCTGGGCCTCCCCTAGGTCGACTCAGCCTCAAATGACTCCCTGGTGTAGCGGTGTAGCTCAGTAAAACATCGCTAGCACTGGGGGAGACAAAGGCGGTCGGGCGTGGTGCTGGCCACCCACCCCCTCGTGTGCCACAGTGCCGGCAGCCTTCATAGGCGCTGCTCGCTAACAGCACTTGCCCCTACAGTCTGTTAAGGCTATACGGGGGATCTTTGTCTGTGTATGGTGTGTGTCGCTGTGTGTGTGTGTCATTGTGTGTGTTACAGTGTATGTGTGTCATTGTGTATGTCATTGTGTGTGTCATTGTGTGTTACAGTGTATGTGTGTCATTGTGTGTTACAGTGTATGTGTGTCATTGTCTGTTAAGGCTATATGGGGGATCTTTGTTCTTTGTTGTTTTTGTGTGTCATTGTGTATGTCATTGTGTGTGTCATTGTGTGTGTTACAGTGTTTAAGTCGTGATTTAGTGGTAATTAATTGAAGGTGGAGGGGTTACCAGCCCCTCGCACCCGTCCAGAGCCCCCGTTTAGCCTCTGTGGTGGTCACAGACGCCATGAGGGGAGGAACCAATCGGAATTGGCCCTCCCCCCACAGCACTGTCCACGACAGAGTTGCCCGTCCAGCACCGCGAGGAGGTAGGGGGTTGTTTTGCCGGACATGATGCTGGCACCTGGCCTGGAGTGATTGGAGGGCATTGGCCAGATCAGCTCAATAACAACGGTAGGAGGCTGCTAGATTTGTGTGCAGCCCATGGGCTCGTAATTACCAACACGCTGTTCCGGCATCGGCGCATCCACACAAAATCATGGATACATGCCGGGTCCAAGCAAGAACAGCTGCTGGACTACATAGTGACAGACCAGCGGATGCGAGCCCATGTCCTTGACACCAGGACCTTCCGTGGAGCTAATCTGCCCTCTGACCATCGACTAGTCATCTGTAAGATGCGCCTGCAATTCTTCCACTCCGGTGGTGGGTGTACACCCAGGACCCCATTCCAACCTAAAGTGGCCTGGTGTTGGTTATCTGATGAAAGTTGCAAGCGAGAATTTCATCATCGCTTGCGGCTGGGGTTGGCATCGTCCCACACTCCTCCTGATGTCGAGGGTAAATGGACGAGGTTTAGGACTGTGACTCATGCAGCTGCAATGGCTGCTTTGGGTCCGCGGTCCAGACCTCCCCAGAGACCCTGGCTGACAGAGGAGGTGTTCAGGATGGTTGAGAAAAAGCGACAGGCCCACTGTCATAGGCTACAGAATCCCACGTCAGAGAATGAGGAGGCTTACCGCAGCCTTCGCTCGGAGGTTCGGAGAGCCATGAGGCGCTGAAAGGATGGGTGGTGGTCGCGGGTTGCTGAGGATACGGAGTCTGCCTCAGTGGCCCGCGATCACAAATCTCTATTTAACTCCATCAAAAAAGTAACCTGCAGTGCCATACCTGTTACCATCATTAGGGGAAAAAACAGTGATCCAATCTCCGACCCCCAGGAACAGGTTTGCAGATTTGCTGAGCATTTCCGTGAGGTCCTGGGGGAGGGAAAATCCCTCAGCCAGGAAAACATCGTGGCACAAAGTGAGGATGACCATGCTGAGGCTGCGGTGCCTCAAATATTGGAAGAAGTCACCCCCTGTGAGTGGCTGGCTGAGGTGCCATCTGTTGAGGAAGTACTCAAGGCGATCCGGAGTCTGAGACCAGGAAAGGCAGCGGGCGAAGAGATGATCTCCCAAGCGAAATGCCGAGGGAGGGTGGCGTTTGTGCACAGACTGCCCTATATGACATCATAACAACAGTCTGGACCACTGGACGGGTTCCGCAGGAATGGAAGGATGCCCTAGTGGTCCCCCTCTTTAAGAAGGGGGACCGCACAGACTGTAACAACTACAGGGGCATCTCACTCCTCAGTGTGCCGGGAAAGGTCCTGGCAAGGATTGTTCAACATGGCCTTGCCAGGCACGCTGAGGAGAGGCTTGCGGAGCCCCAATGCGGTTTCAGGAAAGGGCGGTCCTGCACAGATGCCATATTTTCTGTCAAGACCTACATCTCTGCTTTATTGGCCTGGTCAAGGCCTACGATACCATCAGTAGGCCTGGGCTCTGGGTTGTTCTTCATGATGGTGAGCGGGCCTGGGTAAAACTACGTGGCCGGGAGTCAGAGGCATTCCCTGTACACCTTGGGGTGCGACAGGGATGTCCTCTGGCTCCCACATTATTTAACATCTATTTTGACCACGTAGTTCGTGAAGCCTTCAATAGCTGTACCGGGGGAATTTCCATTTTGTACAGATATAATGGGAGGCTGATCGATGCCCGGGTGCGGTCAAGGGATGGCTCCCTATTGCTCAACCACGTTATTTATGCTGATGATTTGGTAATAGCTGCTCATTCAAAGGAGGCGTTTGAGACGCTGCTGCTGAGACTGGAGCGTGCCACTAAGAGATGGGGCCTTACCATCAGCCCCACCAAAACTAAGCACCTGCCTTTGTACCATCGGACACTCCACCTCCACAAATCCCAATCGGTGATGGGGCAGTTGTAGAGAGAGTGGAGAGTTTCCAATACCTGGGCAGTGTTTTTATGCCCGCTCCAGTTTAACAGCAGAGGTCTCACTCCGAATCAGTCGAGCGGCAATATCTTTTCATCGGTTGCGTAACGCTGTGTGGAAGCTACCTGGTCTGTCGCTCCGCACGAAGCTTCAGGTCTTCTCGGCCACGGTCATTCCCTCCCTTCTCTACGCTTGCGAAACGTGGACCCCCCCTAATGGAAGATCTTCGCCGGTTAGAAACATTTAGGCTGGCCTGCCTACGATCCATCCTGGGTTTAACCAGGCTGGATTGTGTGAGGAACTCACAAATCCTTGAAAGATCTGGGCAAGGTCCCATCGGTGAGCTCCTCCGGCAGGTAAGGCTGCGTTGGCTGGGTCATGTAGCCCGCATGCCCAGCCACCGCATGCCGAAACAGCTTTTGTTAGGTCGGATCGAGGGGGCTAAACGGGCGCGGCACGGGCTAGAGCAGAGATGGAGTGATGTGGTACAGGAGGACGTGGAGCTGAGTGGACTTGCCGATGACTGGTACCAGCGGTGTCAAGATCGGCCTCTGTGGAGGAGGCTCGTGAAGGATGCTACTGGGCAGTTGGAGGCAGTCGACCTCCAACAACAACGGAGGGCGGAGGAGCGACGCTCACAACAGCGAGCGGAGCGCCGGGTGGCTAAAGCACAGCAGGTTGGCACAGTAGGGGGCACAGGTGGTGCATCAGCCAGTCATCTCAGTCAGTCGACCCGTGGCACCTGGGTCTGCCCCGTGACCTCCTGCCAGCGGGCGTTCGACACTTCACGTGGCCTCAGGGTGCACATAGCCTGGCACAAGCGTCGTGGTGACGTCACCGCCACTTAGTGGCGAATGGCGGTTGTTGTTGTTGTTTGTGTGAGTGTGTCTGTGTGTCTGTGTGAGTGTGTCTATGTCCGTGTGTCTGTGTGTCTGTGTGTGTGTGTGTCTGTGTGTGGCTGTGTGTGAGTGTGTCTGTGTATCTGTGTGTCTGTGTCTGTGTCTCTGTGTGTGTGTGTGCTCGCTAACAGCACTTGCCCCAACAGCCTGTTGAGGCTCTACGGTACGGGAGGGCTGAACCTTCGTCTCCGTCTTACCTGTCCACAACCACCACCACCACAACCACCACCACCACCGCCACCACCGCCACCGCCGCCACCACCACCGCGAGGGAAGCGGCTGATGTTGCTGGTGATCTGCTGCGAGCGAAGCCACTGCTGCTCCCACTGCTGGGCGCTGTACGATGGCTTCGACTTCTGCAGCCTCATCAGCAGTGCTTGGTTCTCTCGCGCCAGACGCTCCAACTCACGGCCTCGCTGCTCGCCGTTCAGGCTGAGAGAGCGGAGAGAGAGCGGAGAGAGAGATGGAGAGGGAGTCAGGCGGGAGGGGGTGATCGTGTGGGTAGTGGAAAAAAAATATCATTCGCCGGCACGGGTCTGGCACGGGTCTGGCACGGGTCTGGCACGGGTCTGGCACGGGTCTGGCACGGGTCTGCATGCATCTGGAATAGGTCTGGTACAGGTCTGGCACGGATTCGGCACGGGTCTGGCACGGGTCTGGCACGGGTCTGCAAGCATCTGGAATAGGTCTAGTACAGGTCTGGCACGGATTCGGCACGGGTCTGGCACGGGTCTGGCACGGGTCTGCATGCATCTGGAATAGGTCTGGTACAGGTCTGGTACGGATTCGGCACGGGTCTGGCACGGGTCTGGCACGGGTCTGCATGCATCTGGAAGAGGTCTGGTACGGGTCTGGTACGGGTCTGGGTAGGGGTTTGGTACGGGCCTGGTACAGGTCTGGCACGAGTCTGGCACGAGTCTGGCACGGGTCTCGCAACGCCCCCGGTATGGGTCTAGCACGCGTCTGCCACAGGTCTGCTATGGGTCTGGTACCGGTCTGGCACGGATCCGGCATGGGTCTGTCACGGGTCTGGCACGGTCCTGCCATGGTTCTGGCAGGGGTCTGTATGCGTCTGGCCCAGGTCTGATACGGGTCTGGCACGGGTCTGGCACGGGTCTGGCACGGATCTCGCACTGGCCATGTAGGGGTCCGACAGAGAATTTGGTACGGCCCCCCAGAACGGCTCCGGATACGCGTCTAGCACGGGTTTGGCATGTGTCTGGCATGGGTCTGGCACGGGTCTGGCACGGGTCTGGCGGCGGCCCCCGGTACGGGTCTGGCACGGGTCTGGCACGGGTCTGGCACGGGTCTGGCGGCGGCCCCCAGGCACGGGTCTGGCACGGGTCTGGCACGGGTCCGGCACGGGTCTGGCACGGGTCTGGCACGGGTCTGGCGGCGGCCCCCGGCACGGGTCTGGCACGGGGCTGGCACGGGTCTGGCACGGGTCTGGCGGCGGCCCCCAGGCACGGGTCTGGCACGGGTCTGGCACGGGTCTGGCACGGGTCTGGCGGCGGCCCCCAGGCACGGGTCTGGCACGGGTCTGGCACGGGTCCGGCACGGGTCTGACACGGGTCTGGCACGGGTCTGGCGGCGGCCCCCGGCACGGGTCTGGCACGGGTCTGGCACGGGTCTGGCACGGGTCTGCATGCATCTGGAATAGGTCTGGTACAGGTCTGGCACGGATTCGGCACGGCTCTGGCACGGGTCTGGCACGGGTCTGCAAGCATCTGGAATAGGTCTAGTACAGGTCTGGCACGGATTCGGCACGGGTCTGGCACGGGTCTGGCACGGGTCTGCATGCATCTGGAATAGGTCTGGTACAGGTCTGGTACGGATTCGGCACGGGTCTGGCACGGGTCTGGCACGGGTCTGCATGCATCTGGAAGAGGTCTGGTACGGGTCTGGTACGGGTCTGGGTAGGGGTTTGGTACGGGCCTGCTACAGGTCTGGCACGAGTCTGGCACGAGTCTGGCACGGGTCTCGCAACGCCCCCGGTATGGGTCTAGCACGCGTCTGCTACAGGTCTGCTATGGGTCTGGTACCGGTCTGGCACGGATCCGGCATGGGTCTGTCACGGGTCTGGCACGGTCCTGCCATGGTTCTGGCAGGGGTCTGTATGCGTCTGGCCCAGGTCTGATACGGGTCTGGCACGGGTCTGGCACGGGTCTGGCACGGATCTCGCACTGGCCATGTAGGGGTCCGACAGAGAATTTGGTACGGCCCCCCAGAACGGCTCCGGATACGCGTCTAGCACGGGTTTGGCATGTGTCTGGCATGGGTCTGGCACGGGTCTGGCACGGGTCTGGCGGCGGCCCCCGGCCCGGGTCTGGCACGGGTCTGGCACGGGTCTGGCACGGGTCTGGCGGCGGCCCCCAGGCACGGGTCTGGCACGGGTCTGGCACGGGTCCGGCACGGGTCTGGCACGGGTCTGGCACGGGTCTGGCGGCGGCCCCCGGCACGGGTCTGGCACGGGGCTGGCACGGGTCTGGCACGGGTTTGGCGGCGGCCCCCAGGCACGGGTCTGGCACGGGTCTGGCACGGGTCTGGCACGGGTCTGGCGGCGGCCCCCAGGCACGGGTCTGGCACGGGTCTGGCACGGGTCCAGCACGGGTCTGACACGGGTCTGGCACGGGTCTGGCGGCGGCCCCCGGCACGGGTCTGGCACGGGTCTGGCACGGGTCTGGCGGCGGCCCCCAGGCACGGGTCTGGCACGGGTCTGGCACGGGCCCAGCGCGCAGTGGGAAAAGGTTCCCTGTTACCTGCGGGCGACGTAGGAGTTGCGGTGGTCCAGCCGCCCGCCCGTGCCGGCGATGTGGGCCATGCGGCCCAGCAGGGCCCGGTTCTCGTGCTCAATGGCAGCCACGCGCTCCTCCTGCGCCTGGTGGTGAGCCCGAAACGTCGACATCATCTCGACATCATCAACACCGACGACGTCGTCAACGTCATCGCCTCTGCCGCCGTCGCCACCACCGCCGTCATTACCGTGACCATCACGGTCACCACCACGACCATCATCACCACCACCACCATCACCACCACCACCACGGTCACCACCACCATCACCACCACCACCATCATCACCACCACCACCATCACCACCACCATCACCAACAACATCACCACCACAATCACCACCACAATCACTACCACAATCACCACCACCCTCATCATCACCACCATCACCACCACCATCATCACCACAATCACCACCACAATCATCATCACCACAATCACCACCACCATCACCACCATCATCACCACCATCACCACCATCACCACCATCACCATCACCACCGTCACCACTCACCACCGTCACCACCACTATCACCACCACCACCACCATCATCACCATCACCATCACCGTCACCACCACCATCATCACCATCCCCGCCACCATCACCGTCACCACCACCATCACCACCATCACCACCACCACTATCACCACCACCACCACCATCACCACCACCACCACCATCACCACCACCATCATCACCACCATCATCACCACCACAATCACCACCATTACGACCACCATCACCACCACCATCACCACCACCACCATCACCATCACCACCATCACCACCATCACCATCACCACTACCACCACCATCACCACCACCACCATCACCGCACATCGTTCTTGGGACGCCATCCTTCGAGAGCGGGCGATGAATCAAAATCCTAATTATTATCAATCATTCAATCAATCCTCATCAATCATCGTCATCATCATCATCAATGAACATGGTCGTGGTCATATCCTGCAGCTGTCAATGCACCTGCATCTTCTTGCTCCTCGTGTTGAGATGTCCGCAGGTCCTGGGAGAGCTGGTGTCCACCACGGGCTTGGCAGAAAGGACCTTCAGGGATGCATGGATCAGTTCAAACTCAACTAAAATTGGTGAACGTGGCGACGTTTTGTCACACTGTGAGCAGGCTGCAAGGCGCACACTCAGCTCAGAAGCGACCACGTGGATGTCACGCGTGATAGCTGCTCGAACAAGTGACGGATTAACGTCATCGTCATCATCATCGTCATCATCGTCATCGTCGTCATCATCATCGTGGTCGTGTTGTTGTGTGAATGTCTAGCGGCAGTCAAATCCTCTGAAGGCGTGGCGATGTTTATTCTAAATGTGGAGGGGAAAAACCGGAGACAGATCCACGCGAACACGGCCAGAGAGAGAGACACTCAGACTCCACATCTACAGCAGCAGGCATTGTGAGGGTAGGGGTAGAACCCACGACCTCCTGTACACCAGGCAAGGTAGTCAACATCTCATAGCCACCGTGATGATGATGATGATGAGAGAGAGACACTCAGACTCCACATCTACAGCAGCAGGCATTGTGAGGGTAGGGGTAGAACCCACGACCTCCTGTACACCTAGCGAGGTAGTCAACATCTCATAGCCACCATGATGAGAGAGAGAGAGACACTCAAACTCCACATCTACAGCAGCAGCAGCAGGCGTCGTGAGGGTAGGGGTAGAACCCACGACCTCCTGTACACCAGGCGAGGTAGTCAACATCTCATAGCCACCGTGATGATGATGATGGTAGAGAGACACTCAGACTCCACATCTACAGCAGCAGGCATTGTGAGGGTAGGGGTAGAACCCACGACCTCCTGTACACCAGGCGAGGTAGTCAACATCTCATAGCCACCGTGATGATGATGATGATGGTAGAGAGACACTCAGACTCCACATCTACAGCAGCAGGCATTGTGAGGGTAGGGGTAGAACCTACGACCTCCTGTACACCTAGCGAGGTAGTCAACATCTCATAGCCACCGTGATGATGATGATGAGAGAGAGACACTCAGACTCCACATCTACAGCAGCAGCAGCAGCAGGCATCGTGAGGATAGGGATCTAACCCACGACCTCCTGTACACCAGGCGACGTAGTCAACATCTCAAAGCCACCACAACATTCATCCAGCAGTAGATAGAACCATGGTGGGGGTGGTGGTGACACTGAGAGACAGGGAGGGGGTGGGGGTAGAGACATCACCACCATCGCCGTGGTCTGTCCACCGCTGGATGGCAGGGCCACGTGATGCTGGTTAATGGGAGCACGTGACCACAAATCCACTCCCTCACTCCCTCTTCCCCTCCCCCGTCCCTCCCCCCTCCCTCACTCCCTCCCCCATCACCCCCTCCCCCCTTCCCTCCCCCCTCACTCCCTCCACCCTCCCCCCCTCCCCCCTCACTCCCTCCCCCCTCACCCCCTCCCCCCTCACCCCTCCCCCTCACTCCCTCCCCCCTCACTAGTTGTGGTTGTGGTGGTGGTTGTTGTGGCGGTTGTGGTGGTGGTTGTGGTGGTTGTGGTGGTTGTAGTTTTGGTTGTGGTAGTTGTGGTAGTTTTGGTGGTTGTGGTAGTTGTGGTGGTAGTTGTGGTTGTGGTGGTGGTAGTGGTGGTGGTTGTGGTGGTTGTGGTGGTGGTGGTTGTGGTTGTGTTGGTAGTGGTGGTAGTGGTGGTGGTTGTTGTGGTGGTGGTAGTTGTGGTTGTGATGGTTGTTGTGTGGTGGCAGTTGTGGTGGTAGTTGTGGTAGTTGTGGTGGTTGTGGTGGTTATGGTGGTAGTGGTGGTGGTTGTGGTGGTTGTGGTGGTGGTTGTGGTTGTGTTGGTAGTGGTGGTAGTGGTGGTGGTTGTTGTGGTGGTGGTAGTTGTAATGGTAGTGGTGGTGGTTGTTGTGGTGGTGGTAGTTGTGGTTGTGATGGTTATTGTGGTGGTGGCAGTTGTAGTGGTTGTGGTGGAAGTCGTGGTAGTTGTGGTAGTTGTGGTGGTAGTGGTGGTGGTTGTGGTGGAGGTTGTGGTTGTGTTGGTAGTAGTGGTAGTGGTGGTGGTTGTTGTGGTGGTAGTTGTGGTGGTAGTGGTGGTGGTTGTTGTGGTGGTAGTTGTGGTTGTTGTGGTGGTGGTTGTTGTGATGGTAGTAGTGGTGGTTGTTGTGGTGGTTGTGTTGGTTGTGGTGGTGGTGGTTGTTGTGGTGGTGGTTGTTAGGGTGGTAATTTTGGTTGTGGTGGTGGTTGTGGTGGTGATTTTAGTTGTGGTGGTGGTTGTGGTGGTAGTGGTGGTGGTAGTAGTGGTGGTTGTGGTGGTAGTTCTGGTGGTGGTAGTTGTGTTTGTTGTGGTGGTAGTTGTTGTTGTGGTGGTGGTTGTGGTGGTAGTGGTGGTAGTGGTAGTGGTGGTTGTGGGGGTGGTGGTTGTGGTGGTAGTTGTGTTTGTTGTAGTGGTAGTTGTGGTTGTGGTGGTGGTTGTGGTGGTAGTGGTTGTGGTGGTTGTGGGGGTGGTGGTAGTAGTGGTGGTAGTTGTGGTAGTAGTTTGGGTGGTGGTAGTTGTGGTAGTGGTTGTTGTGGTTGTTGTGGTGGTGGTAGTTGTGGTGGTGGTAGTTGTGGTGGTGGTTGTGGTCGTAGTGGTGGTTGGGGTTGTGGTGGTTGTGGTGGTGGTGGTGGTAGTGGTGGTGGTGGTGGTAGTTGTTGTAGTGGTGGTTGTGGTTTAGTTGAGTTTGTTGTGGTGCTAGTTGTGGTTGTTGTGGTTGTGGTGGTAGTTGTGGTTGTCGTGGTGGTAGTTGTGGTTGTTGTGGTGGTTGTTGTGGTGGTGGTAGTTGTTGTGGTGGTTGTGGTAGTTGTTGTGGTGGTTGTCGTGGTAGTTGAGTTTGTTGTGGTGGTTGGTGTGGTTGTTGTGGTTGTGGTGTTAGTTGAGGTTGTTGTGGTGGTTTTGGTTGTTGTGGTTGTTGTGGTTGTTGTGGTGGTGGTAGTTGTGGTTGTTGTTGTGGTTGTTGTTGTGGTTGTTGTTGTGGTTGTTGTTGTGGTTGTGGTTGGTGTGGTTGTTGTTGTGATGGTTGTTGTGGTTGTTGTTGTGGTGGTAGTTGAGGTTGTTGTGGTGGTTGTTGTGGTTGTGGTGGTTATTGTGGTTGTTGTGGTTGTTGTGGTAGTTGTTGTGGTGGTTCTGGTGGTAGTTGTTGTGGTTGTTGTTGTGGTGGTAGTTGAGGTTGTTGTGGTGGTAGTTGTGGTTGTTGTGGTTGTTGTTGTGGTTGTTATGGTTGTTGTGGTTGTTGTGGTTGTTGTGGTGGTGGTAGTTGTGGTTGTTGTGGTGGTTGTTGTGGTTGTTGTGGTGGTTGTTGTGGTTGTTGTGGTGGTTGTTGTGGTTGTTGTGGTAGTTGTTGTGGTGGTTGTAGTTGTGGTTGTTATTGTTGTGGTTGTTGTGGTAGTTGTTGTGGTTGTTGTGGTTGTGGTTGTTATTGTTGTGGTTGTTGTTGTTGTGGTAGTTGTTGTGCTACCTTCCGCCTGTGCTCGCCGTAATTTGTCTCATCCCATCGCTTCTGCAGCAGGCGACTGCTGGATGGCAGCATGGACGGGTGGGAGCGGTGCATGGGGCAAGCACCCCAACAACCACCACAACCACAACAACAACCACAACCACAACAACCACAACCACAACAACCACAACAACCACCACCACCACAACGACCACAACCACAACAACAACCACCACAACCACAACAACCACAACCACAACCACCACCACCACAACGACCACAACCACAACAACCACAACAGCCACCACCACAACCACAACAACCACCACCACCAACCCCCACCACAACAACCACCACCACAACAACAAACACCACCACAACAACCACAACCACAACAACCACAACAACAACAACAACCACCACAACAACAAACACCACCACAACAACCACCACCACAACAACCACCACCACAACAACCACCACCACAACAACCACCACCACAACAACCACCACCACCACCACCACAACCACCACCACCACCGTCTCCACAAACCGCCACCGACAGCGGCAGCGCCTCCTGTGAGCAGCCAGAGAGAGAGTGGGGACAGAGAGGGGGGGAGGGGTGGAGAGAGGGAGGGGGGAGAGGGGGCAGGGGGGGAGAGAGGGGGCAGGGGGAGAGTAGGGGGGGGGGGTAGAGGGGGGGGGGAGGAGAGAGTTGGCAGAGTGGAGAGAGGAGAGAGTGGAGAGGGGGGGAGAGGAGAGAGTTGGCAGAGTGGAGAGAGGAGAGGGTGGAGAGGGGGGGAGAGGAGAGAGTTGGCAGAGTGGAGAGAGGAGAGAGTGGAGAGCGAGAGGGGAGGGTAGAGGGGGGGAGGGAGTTGAGAGGGGGGTGGGAAGAGAAGAGACGTGAGAGACTTGACAGAGGAGTGTAGCAGATGGAGGGGAGAGAGTGGAGAGAGTGGAGAGAGACGAGAGAGGAGGTACAGATGGAGGAGCTATGGAGAGAGAGGAGGTACAGATGGAGGAGCTATGGAGAGAGAGGAGGTACAGATGGAGGAGCTATGGAGAGAGAGACAGGAGGTACAGATGGAGGAGCTATGGAGAGAGAGGAGGTACAGATGGAGGAGCTATGGAGGGAGAGGAGGTACAGATGGAGGAGCTATGGAGAGACAGAGAGAGAGGTACAGATGGAGGAGCTATGGTGAGAGAGAGGTACAGATGGAGGAGCTATGGAGAGAGAGAGACAGGAGGTACAGATGGAGGAGCTATGGAGAGAGAGGAGGTACAGATGGAGGAGCTATGGAGAGAGAGCGGGTACAGATGGAGGAGCTATGGAGAGAGAGAGAGACAGGAGGTACAGATGGAGGAGCTATGGAGAGAGAGAGAGGTACAGATGGAGGAGCTACGGACAGAGAGAGAAAGAGAGACAGGAGATACAGATGGAGGAGCTATGGACAGAGAGACAGGAGGTACAGATGGAGGAGCTATGGAGAGACAGAGAGAGAGGTACAGATGGAGGAGCTATGGTGAGAGAGAGGTACAGATGGAGGAGCTATGGAGAGAGAGAGAGACAGGAGGTACAGATGGAGGAGCTATGGAGAGAGAGGAGGTACAGATGGAGGAGCTATGGAGAGAGAGCGGGTACAGATGGAGGAGCTATGGAGAGAGAGAGAGACAGGAGGTACAGATGGAGGAGCTATGGAGAGAGAGAGAGGTACAGATGGAGGAGCTATGGAGAGAGAGAGAGGAGGTACAGATGGAGGAGCTATGGAGAGAGAGAGAGGAGGTACAGATGGAGGAGCTATGGAGAGAGAGAGAGGTACAGATGGAGGAGCTATGGAGAGAGAGAGAGAGAGGAGGTACAGATGGAGGAGCTATGGAGAGAGAGAGAGGTACAGATGGAGGAGCTACGGACAGAGATAGAAAGAGAGACAGGAGATACAGATGGAGGAGCTATGGAGAGAGAGAGAGGAGGTACAGATGGAGGAGCTATGGAGAGAGAGAGAGGTACAGATGGAGGAGCTATGGAGAGAGAGAGAGGAGGTACAGATGGAGGAGCTATGGAGAGAGAGAGAGGTACAGATGGAGGAGCTATGGAGAGAGAGAGAGGTACAGATGGAGGAGCTATGGACAGAGGGGGTACAGATGGAGGAGCTATGGAGAGAGAGAGAGACAGGAGGTACAGATGGAGGAGCTATGGAGAGAGAGGTACAGATGGAGGAGCTATGGAGAGAGAGACAGGAGGTACAGATGGAGGAGCTATGGAGAGAGAGACAGGAGGTACAGATGGAGGAGCTATGGAGAGAGACATGAGGTACAGATGGAGGAGCTATGGAGAGAGAGAGAGAGGAGGTACAGATGGAGGAGCTATGGAGAGAGAGAGAGAGGAGGTACAGATGGAAGAGCTATGGAGAGAGAGAGGTACAGATGTAGGAGCTATGGAGAGAGAGAGAGAGGTACAGATGGAGGAGCTATGGAGAGAGACAGGAGGTACAGATGGAGGAGCTATGGAGAGAGAGAGAGAGGAGGTACAGATGGAGGAGCTATGGAGAGAGAGAGAGAGGAGGTACAGATGGAAGAGCTATGGAGAGAGAGAGGTACAGATGTAGGAGCTATGGAGAGAGAGAGAGAGGTACAGATGGAGGAGCTATGGACAGAGAGGGGGTACAGATGGAGGAGCTATGGAGAGACAGAGAGAGATTTACAGATGGAGGAGCTATGGAGAGAGAGAGACAGGAGGTACAGATGGAGGAGCTATGGACAGCGAGGGGGTTAGGGAGAGTTGAGGAATGTGGAGTGGAAGGGTGGAGGAGTTGGAGAGGGAGTCTCGAGGTAAGAGGAGGTGGATCAGAGTGAAGTGGGCGAGACGTGGGGAGGGTGGAGAGCGAGAGAGATGGCTGCGAGTGGAGATGAGAGGGAGATGAGAGGGAGGGGGGAGTGAGAGTAAAAAATAATAAAATAATCAAATAATAATGAAATTCTAAAAAATTACACAGAGAACAGGGGGAACATAGACATAGAGTAGGGAGAGAGGGGGGTAGAGAGAGAGGGTGTAGAGAGAGAGGGGTAGAGAGAGGGGGGGGGTAGAGAGAGAGAGGGGGTAGAGAGAGAGGGGGTAGAGAGAGAGGGGGTAGAGAGAGAGGGGGTAGAGAGAGAGGGGGGGGGGTAGAGAGAGAGGGCGGGAGAGAGAGAGAGAGGGGTAGAGAGAGAGGGGTAGAGAGAGAGGGGTAGAGAGAGAGAGGGGGTAGAGAGAGAGAGGGGTAGAGAGAGAGGGGGTAGAGAGAGAGAGAGGTGGTAGAGAGAGAGGGGGTAGAGAGAGAGAGAGGGGGTAGAGAGAGAGAGGGGGTAGAGAGAGAGAGGGAGTAGAGAGGGGGGTAGAAAGAGGGGGTAGAGAGAGAGAGGGGGTAGAGAGAGAGGGGTAGAGAGAGAGAGGGGGTAGAGAGGGGGGGGGTAGAGAGAGAGGGTAGAGAGAGAGGGGGGGAGAGAGAGAGGTTAGAGAGAGAGGGGGGGGGGGGTAGAGAGAGAGGGGGTAGAGAGAGACAGGGGGTAGAGAGAGAGGGGGTAGAGAGAGAGGGGTAGAGAGAGAGAGGGGGTAGAGAGAGAGGGGGTAGAGAGAGAGAGAGGTGGTAGAGAGAGAGGGGGTAGAGAGAGAGGGGGTAGAGAGAGAGAGAGGGGGTAGAGAGAGAGAGGGGGTGGAGAGAGAGAGAGGGGTAGAGAGAGAGAGGGGGTAGAGAGAGAGAGAGGGGGTAGAGAGAGAGAGAGGGGGTAGAGAGGGGATAGAGAGAGGGGGTAGAGAGAGAGAGAGGGGGTAGAGAGAGAGAGGGTAGAGAGAGAGAGGGGGTAGAGAGGGGATAGAGAGAGGGGGTAGAGAGAGGGGGTAGAGAGAGGGGGTAGAGAGAGGGGCTAGAGCTGAGCGTGAAACCTTTCGTGAAATTTTTCATTTAAAACAGTGCGGGCGGGCAGGGGCTGGATTTACACAAAGCAAAGCATTGACGAAATAAAACCCCGAAATGATGAACGAATCAAAGTGCCAACTACACGCAGCGTCTCCTTGCTTCCTCTGAGCGTTAAAATAAGAGAGAGAGAGAGATGGGGGGGGGGGTAGACTTAGTAAACAACCTTTATTGCCTGCAGCAGCAGTAGCAACAAGTACTGGATGCGATTCTCATACGAGACACACAAAGTCACCGGCAACACAAACAACAACAACAACAAACTCCGTACATCCCACGCGCTGCGGCGCTAAGATGCACCACGCACAGAGAAGTCACTTGGAGAAGTCACGTGGTTGTGGTGGTGTTGGTGGTGGTGGTGATGGTGGTGGTAGTCCGGCAAAACAACCCCCTACCTCCTCGCGGTGCCGGACGGGCAACTCTGTCGTGGACAGTGCTGTGGCGGGAGATCCAATTTTGATTGGCTCCTCCCCGCATGGCAAATGTGTCCACCACAGGGGCTAAATGGGGGCTCTGGACGGGTTGCGAGGGGCTGGTAACCCATCCACCTTCAATTAATTACCACGAAACCACGAGTTAAACTGAAATATGTAACTAATAAGCTTGTGCGGAGGTCCCGGGGGGCCAGGCGTCTATAACGTCTCCTGGACAAACCCCAATTGGCGGAGCCAGGAGATTGAATATCTACCCTCGGGGCTCCTCCAGAAACAACGAAAAGCCACTACGGGTGGCCACGTGGAATGTTCGAAAGCTCACTGTGGAGGAGAGGCTGCCACTCCTCTGTCGGGAGCTGGACCGGTACCGCCTGGATCTCTGTGGCATTCAGGAGGTCCGGTGGACCGGTTCTGGCTCCTGCCACCATGAGGGGTGGACAGTCCTCTACTCGGGGCAGCAGACTGCCAAACAACAGGGTGTGGCTCTTCTTTTGAACAAAAGAATGAAGGGTGCGTGGGAGCGTGGCGGTGAGGTGTGGGAAGCTGCAAGCCCCAGGCTACTTTGGGCTCGCCTTCCCATCAACCGGAGGCGAGGAATGGTGGTCGTGGTTACTTATGCCACCCACCGAAGATGAACATCCGTGGAGGGATCCGTCTGGTACGAGGATCCGCGCCTTGAGCAGGCCTCTGAACGCTGGGAACCAGACGTCAGTGTCACCTTGCGACGTCTTTTCATCTCTCGTTCTGCACCACCGCCAACTTTCGCCTGAGCGCGGGCCAAAGTTTTGCCGAGGTCAAGGCATTTGTTAGCCAGGTGAAGGGGCGTAGGTA